TGAAAATACTTTACACTATAAAGAAAAAAATGTTACATTAAATTAATATTTTGACATTCACTAATTTGAAAAAAAAAAAAATTTTACTTTGAAAGAAGAAAAAAATATCGTTTGTAATTGAAAAAAAAAATCTCTTGTGGATTATTAAAAAAGTTGTAAAGGAAATAATTGTTTTTAATATGCATGTATGTATGCACTCACGTTTCACAACCGAGAACAGTAAGTACCGAAACAATATACAAAATTTTAAATCACTTTAAATGCCTACAAAATGAACATTAAATATTTTTTATTAATAAATTCAATAAACATAATTATAAGTTTCTATAACGAGTCCTTATACTTGAAGTTATTCTGCACATAAAAGTTAGCTTCAAATTATAAATATACCATATAATTTTATTGATGAAATTATACTAATATTTTCAGTAAATGTATTAATATTTAAAAAATAATTGTACTAAATAATACTTTAAAAAATTTTGCAATATGTGTGCATGTATGTTCTTACCTTTGACAAACGAGAACATCAATAAACTTAAATGTTTTTAATTTATAAATAAATTAACCTAAATAGTTCACACCCTATAATAAGAACTTTTCTTGAACCAATTTCTGCACATAAAATTTTGTCACAAATTGTAAATATATTACTATATAACTTTATTGATGAAATTGTACTAATATTTTCATTAATTGTATTAAATATTTTAATAATAATTGTACTAACGATTTAAATGATTTTCAATTCTCTTTACGCAGAGGAAAAAATATATATGCTTTCTTGTATGCAAGCGCGCACGTTTCATAACGGAGTACAGAGGAATTTCGAAACTCACCTGAAGTCAAGCGTCCGGCATGCCTGTGACCGTTTCCAAGGTAACGCAGGAAGGACCCAAAGCGGGAATCAAGGTTGCCTTCGCCCGTCGACGGCTGAGGATGAAGTGCTCGAAAAAACGTCCGCTTTCACTTTCCTCGCTCGCTAAGTGGATGGGGGTAGGGGATGAGGTCACGTGACACCCGGGGTGATCCGCACCTCCGGGTTTGACAAGATGCCGCCGCGAGACGAGACTTCAGGAAATTGATGGAAAGGTGTTTCGATAGGGAAAGTGTTTCCTCGAATGATGGAATGCTTCTCGCAAGGTCCATTTTTATGGACAGAATAAATCAAGTTTAGCTAATAAAAATTTAACAGAAAAATATTGAATTTTATATTGCAGAAAATTCAATACCATGCTTGCAGAATTTTAAGGGTTTTATTTACTTATTTGGGGGTGCGCAGAAGATCTACCTCCCCGTGGTGCACCTGGTAACACTTTTTAGTGGCTAAAAGATCTACAAGTTGGCATTACTGTTAGATTAATGAACTCTGTTTCAGCATGTTTTGTTGCATTATCTGTTTTTTTTTTTTTTTTTTTTTTTTTTTTTCCGTTATTCTTTTTATTGCTGTAACTGTTCATAATCTGTCATTGGAAATAAAAATAAAAAAAATATTAAAAAAATTTACTTATTTATTTTGCGGGCCTGAATGGCCGAGTAGCTAGTGCTCTGGCGCTCGGTACCACAGGTTTCGGATTCGAGTCTCGGCGGTGTCATAGATGCTTGTAGTGGTTCGGTATCCATTTTAAAGGTCCCGGTCTAATATGATCGTAGAGTGTTGCGGAGGCATTGTTACTCCGTGGCTTATCGTTAAGTTACACGCGCCCCCTGGGTAAAACAAAGAGAGTAACGTCTGTGCAGCTTTTGCCTAAAGGCCAGCTGCATTAGAGAAAAAATACATATATTGCAGAAAATGCAATACCATGTTTGCAGAATTTTAAGGGTTTTATTTTTCAATTCCTGGTATTCGTTCACACTCTCCCTATATACTCCTATATTTATATATCTTGTTCAAATTTTCAATCGTTAATAAAATACTTTGTATTCATTCACTCAAGTTCAAATACATATTTTTAAACTTGTAGAGGATGACACTTGTTGTTAATACAGTTTTTTCAAATATTAATTCAGTAATTAAATTGAATTAATTAATATTATTTTTATATGGGAGAAAAAAGTTTATCTTATATAAGACATTTAGCAGGATATAAATTTAGAAATAAATACCGTCAGAGGTGAAGCGTGTAGGTCGATGGAAAAAAAAATTTCTTTTTCAGATTATTTTTTCATTCTGGGTTCTAGTCTGTGCCAAAAAGGGAACAAAATGGAAAATGAAACATGTGAATAAATTAGTGAGAGAGAGGGAAAGTGTGTATATGTGAGAGAGAAATTTTTCTAACTTAAAAAAATGGATGAAAATTATTTATAAAGGACTTTCTGCATTATAGGAAAAAAATAGGAATTGACTTAAATTTTTTTTTTATATTACTTGTTATTTATTTAGTTTGTTCTTTTTTAATTTATGATACTGTGTTTTAATTTATTGATGCGATGAGTTTAATTTTATTATTGAAGGTCATCACGATGATTGTGATTATCATTCATCATCATTATCATCATTATCTGCACGACAAGCAGATAGTCCATGAACTAATAGAATTTCAATACATACGCATAGTTTAAGTTTATCTAAATTTTTGAGAGATAATCTAAGGCTTTCCTTTGAGGAGATTTCCATGCATTCCTCTGGGTGACAAATGTCCTCCAATTCTTAACCTTTAGTACAGCAAATCCTTTTTCAAATGCGCCTATCCATTGCAACTTAAGTCGTCCTCTTCCTCTTTGTCCTCGTGACTTTGCAAAAACGAGCCTTTTTACGGGGTTTAAATCATTCATTCTAAATACAGAAGCAGCCTATACACTGAAGTGACAAAAGTCATGGGATAGCAATATGCAAATTTTCAGATGGCAGTAGCATCGCGTAGAACAGGTATAAATGCGCAGTGCTTTCATTTCTGTTCAAGTTATTCAAGTGAAGAGGTTTTGACGTGATGATGACCGCACGACGGGAATTAACAGACTTTGAACGCGGAATGTTAGTTGGAGCTAGACGCATGGGTCATGCCATTTCGGAAATCGTTAGGGACTTCAACATTCCCAGATCTACTGTGTCAAGAGTGTGCCGAGAGTATGAAATTTCAGGCATAACATCCCACCATGGACATCCCAGTGGTCGACCGCCTGCACTTAACGACCGAGACCGGCGACGTCTGCAAAGAGTCGTAAATTCTAACAGACAAGCAACACTGCGTCAAATAACCGCAGAAATCAATGTGGGACGTACAAGGGACTTGTCTGTTAGAACTGTGCGGAGAAATTTGGCTTTCTTGGGCTATTCCAGCAGAAGACCGACTCGAGTGCCTTTACTGACAGAACGACATCGCGTGCAGCGACTCTCGTGGGCACGTGAGCATATCGGTTGGTCCCTAGATGAATGGAAAACCGTGGCCTGGTCCGATGAGTCACGATTTCAGTTGATAAGAGATGATGGTAGGGTTCGAGTGTGGCTCAGACCCCACGAAGCCATGGACCCAAACTGTCAGCAAGGCACTGTTCAAGCTGGTGGTGGCTCCGTAATGGTGTGGGCTGTTTTTTCATGGCATGGACTTGGTCCTCTGGTGCGACTGGACCGAACATTGACTGGAAATGCTTATGTTCAGCTACTTGGAGATCATCGAGAGGTCTATTCGTGCCCAAAATCCTGCACCATCAACGCTTTCACAATTATGGACGTCTATCGAGACAGCATGGCTCAATATTCCTGCAGAAGACTTCCAACGACTTGTTGAGTCCATGCCACGTCGAGTTGCTGCACTTCGCCGGGCAAAAGGAGGGCCGACACGATATTAAGAGGTATCCCATGACTTTTGTCACTTCAGTGCATTTAGAATAAGCAGTTTAAGCTATTGATATAAATAAATTTATAATATATGGGTCTTTATAACAATTATAAATTTCTACGTTGTACAGTTTTCTTCAACAACCGCTTTCCCTAACATCTCCAAGAATAGCCCTTAAAATCTTCAGCTCAAATATATCTACATGGCCCTCATCAGATCTTGCCGAAGTCGATATTTCAGAGCCATAGACCAAAATAAGACTAATAAGGGTTTTATATAACAAGAATTTAGTTTTTCTGCTTATGAACTGGGATTTATTATTCAAGATGCTACATTTATTCATACATAATGTATTTATCCACAAAATCAAAGTATTTTTTTCGGGGGGGGCGGTAATACTTCATGAATTTCGTTTAGTCAAGTGTTTCGAAGAATGATGTTGACATTAAAACTATAATGAATGATCGGATTTTATGGTGCAGAACTTTAAAAACTATTTTCATGAATGAATAATTTTAGGGACGATTAGATCTTTTTCGGCTATGATCGGAAATGTCTCAATTTTGAATTATTAACGTTGAACAGATAGTCTACGAACCAATAGAATCTCTATTTACATGTAAGTTTTTCAAGATTTGCATTTTAATTATAAAAGCGAATATTACCCAGTAACGTCCGGTTTGTTTAAATATATATTAAATTGAGATAAATTTTTTAAGGTAATAAAATATTAATTACTATTTCAAAATTAAAAATAAAAAGTTCTAACTTAAAATATGTTTCTAATATAGAAAAAAAAATCATCATCTTTATGTTCATTTAAATAATGCTTCATCTTTTTTTTTTATTAATGAAATGTTAGTTATAAATAGGTCATGACGGCCGAGTGACTAGCTCTCCGGCACTCGGTGTAGCAGGTTTCGGTTCGAGTCCCGGTGGTATTAGGGATGCTTGTAGTGGTTCGGAATCTATTTTAAATCGTAGGTCCAGTCTCATTTGACTGTAGGGCGTAGGGCTTACAAGTAAAAAAAGAAAGAAAACATCTATTGTCTAGAAATCTGCCAGCGAGCTGAGGGCCTTGGCCCACTATGGGGCTGTTGCGCCACTGATAATGAGGATTTATAAATAAGTTCTCCCTTAGCAATTTATGACCAATTTTCTTTCTTAAATTCAAGCATTTTAATATAAAAACGTCAAGCATTTAATATAAATTTAAGCATACCGTACCATGCTGAATATACCGGTTCTCGTTAGATCACCGAAGTCAAGCATCATTGGGCGCGGTCAGTACTTGGGTGGGTGACCATCTGGGAACACCGCGTGCCGTTGGCAAATTTGGGACCTGAATGGCCGAGTGTCTAGCGCTCGGTGCTACAGGTTTCGGGCTCGAATCCCGGCGGTGCCATGGATGTTTGTAGTGGTTCGGAATCCACTTTAAGCCGTAGGTCCCGGTCTTCTATGACTGTAAGAGCGTCACGGAGCAAAAGTCAGTCTTCTACCTACGGGTGCTCCATCACAACAGAAGCTGCTTCCTTCCCCTTCAATCATGAGTCCATATGGGCTCGTGGGCTTGGCCCCAGCCAAGTGGGATAAGAAACAACAAAACAACAACAACAGCATTTTAATATAAAAACGCATGCATAAAAAAAACTTTTTTTTTTTATCAAAACATTAAGCACTGATATTGTAATAAAAATAAATTGTTTCAAAACTTGATATTTATAATTACTACTTGAATGTAATATAACAATACGATGCATTATTTTAATTATGTAATTTATTGTTATAATACGTTAAAATGTCAGTTTTTATTTAATTAAAAAATTAATTTGAATTTTTCTTTAATTTTTTTGTCTACGAATGAGGAAAAAATTTAATAAATTCAGAGAAAAAAATAGATTACTAAGTGTAACAGTTTTTAAGCTTTACTGGAACATATATACATCTATTTTTTAAACATAGAAGATTTATTCTGATTCAATTTAAAACTGAATTTATTTTCTCAGAAGGGTAGTAAAAATATATATTTATGACAGGATATATTTTTGCATATAGAACTAATGAGAAATTATTTCTTTAATTTCCCAATAGGGGGCCGTCTGGATTATTTCCTGTCGTGTAAAGATTTGGATGGCTTAGCATAAAACACGAATTCTTCTGTCACATTTTTATAAAAGACTTTTCGATTCTTTGAAGTTAAGGAACTTAATTGGAATTTCAATTTGGACTTTCAAGTTTTTTTGTAGAAATTTAAATAATTTACTAAGTTTAACCCAAAAACAAGACACTATTTGAAAAAAGGAACTTAAGTTTTATATATAAGCCATTTTATTAGGAATATTATTTAAATTCAAATGTTCATAAATTTAGGTATTTTAGGTTTTAAGATTTTCCAATGCACAAAATGCACTAAGAAAAATATGAGAATAATACATGTCCATCATTGTATTATTATAAATATAAACATAAGGCATCTAAGGATAATGAAAATCAATTATTAATTTATTTTTTTCAAAATTCAAATAAATGCCATCGTGAAAAACGAATATTTTACTTAATTGATAGTTGATTTTTAATTGATTTTTTAATTTTTATACTTTATTTTTTAATTTTTATACTTGATTTTTTTAATTTTGATAATTGCTTTTTTAAATTTTAATATTTAATTTTTAATTGATTTTTTAATTTTGATAGTTGATTTTTTTAATTTTGATACTTGATATATTTAAATGTGATACTAGACTTTTTTAATTTTGATATTTGATTATTTAATTACTTGTCTGGAAGAAAATTTGATTGAAAAGTTAATTTTTGTAATTCAGAATAACCTTATAAGAGTTGTAATACATAAATAAGAATTACTAAAACAAAGTTTTATAATTTTAATTTTCTACATGAGAATAATTTTTTTAAACTACAATTTTGGGAATTAAAGACTTTTAGGATAGTTTTATGGGGACTGTATAAATTTAAGGAGGTTTAAATTAGTCTCATTAAAATGATCTTGAATATCTAAAATAAGAATATCGTACATCTAATGATATTTAATCTAATACATCTAATGATATATAAATGTTCCAATGATATTTATCTAATGATATTTAAATGTTCTTATGACACTTATCTAATGATATTTAAATGTTGGGATGATATTTTTCAAATGATATTTAAATATTTCAAGAAATGTTTTAAATAAAAAAAGTACAAATTATTGCAAATTAGAATATGTTGAATATTTTAAAGTAATTTAATATAAATTTAAGAATAATTGAAACAGTCTCATTAAAACCATTTTTGAAGTATTTAAAGTGAGAATATCATTTTAATTATTATACATTTTTTTGAAAAAAGATTTTATTTAAGGGAAAGAAAAATAAATTAAAATTTGCTTAATAATTTGTCTATGTGTATAGAAATAAATATATTAATTAACTTAAAATAAAATAAACATATATGCATATATAAACATATATGCATTTGTACATATACGCATAAATTTAATAAAAACATATATGCATGGCTGCGGAAAAAAACAGAATTGAAACGATAATGAATTTCTTTTAATTTCTATATATTCTATGTTAAAAATAAGAATAAGAATTAAAAATATATGCATATGCTTAGACCATCTTAATAATAAATCAGCAATACTGGTGAATTTCAATAATAATAAATAATAGATGGACACACATTTTTTTTTCATAACATACAATCAATTAATAATAACATTAAATTGATCTCATAGTTCTCCAATCCTTGTTAAAATTTTACTAAAATTCCAATTTTCGTTGAAAAAACATTAATGTGAAAACAATACCTACAATAGGTGTAATATACCTACTACATCAGTAGTATCAGATGATATATATTTGTATATCTTATTCAAATTTTCAATCATCAATAAAATACTTTTTACTCATCCACTCAAGTTGAAATATCTCTACAATTATAAAAATATATATAAAGTAGATATTATTTTTCGTAGTTTAGTGATTTTTTAATTTTCTTTAATTTTCTACTAAAAATATATCATCAAAGGGATTCTTGTTGAAAAGAAAGATCTTTTTCAATTCCTACTATTAGTTCACACTCTTCCTATATATATCTTGTACAAATTTTCAATCATGAATAAAATACTTTTTATTTCTCCATAAGTTCAAATATTTTTTTTAAACTTGTAGCGGATGTCACTTGATGTTGATACAGTTTTTTCAAATATTAATTCATTAATTAAATTTAATTAATTAATTGAAGAACTGGACTGCTCGAAACTCACTGGAAAGGTTCCTTGCTATGATGAAGAATTACATGAGATGGATAGAATGAGAAATTATAGATCACCATCAGCTTCATAAATTAGAAACGAAAAAAAAATTGCACAACTGGTAGCACATTGCACAACTGGTACAATATTAATGCAATGAAATTATTACATTTATAATTTGAACTAAATCTTCTCTGGGATTAAGAAAAAAATTATTTAGGGTGATCTCTTTGGCCTTCTATCACTATCAATATTATTTTCTTTTTGGAATTGTGTCTTCAAGTCACGCAATTTATCCCATCTCCCAAATGATAAGGTTTCATTTCAGCTCAACAATCTTCTCTAACAGTAAGGCAAAACCGCTTTTATACTTTTATCAGCCTCGTGCATGACTGTATGGTGTTTAGTTAATGACACGGATTGTAATCCGAGTACAATTGCAAATGTTGTCGAGTTGAGAAACAGTAGGTGAATAAACCATCAACTTCATGTTAAGCACGCCCAGATACTTGCATTATAAATGATCCTATCACGATACTTGTCTACTTGATATTCATGGCTGACTCTTATGGTGAATCTTAAATTGTTGAAAAAAAACCGAAGTTCTTGCTGAAATTTTTTTTGAAAGCGCATAATAACGATAATTTCTTTAAAGAATAACAAGAACTTATCCTTTTAATGTATTCAAATATCTCTACAATTATAAAAAATATATATAAAGTAGATATTATTTTTCGTAGTTTAGTGATTTTTTTAATTTTCTACTAAAAATATATCATCAAAGGGATTCGTGTTAAAAAGAAAGATCTTTTTCAATTCCTACTATTAGTTCACACTCTCCCTATATGTATATATATATATATCTTGTTCAAATTTTCAGTCGTTAATAAAATACTTTTTATTCATCCACTCAAGTTCAAATACATTTTTTTAAACTTGTAGCGGAGGACACTTGATGTTAATACAGTTTTTTCAGATATTAATTCATTAATTAAATTTAATTAATTAATTGAAGAACTGGACTGCTCGAAACTCGCTGGAAAGGTTCCTTGCTATAATGAAGCATTACAAGAGATGAATAAAATGAAAAATTATAGACCACAATCAACTTCATAAATTAGAAACGAAAAATAAATAGTAACAAACAAAAATAATAGTCTAACACCATATATAGAAAGAAAAATGGAAAATTGCAAGGAAATTCTCATTCTATTTTGCCACTTAATAGTGTGATTATGTCAGATGTAGATGCATATTTATATTAATTATAATTATTGAATAAAAAGTAACTAAAATAAAATTTTTCTTTGTTGACCTATGTAGGAATTTATTTTATTTTTTTTTTTTTATATTACTTGTTCTTTTGTTGTAACAATACTTCATGAGGTAAGAGAATAACATAAAAGTAAAATTTATTTCAAACATTTATAAATCTTAGAGGCTCTTCTAAGAAAGTATTGCCTTGATTTTTTACGAACTAACATTAAATTCAAGACACTTAAAGCTTGTAAAACAAAAATGGACAAAGATGTCAAAATAATGGCGTTAGGCCTGTAAGATTAACTCTTCCTTTCTAAAGATGATGAATAGTAATCCTGCTTAGTAACATTGTAACAAGATTAAAAAAATTGCAACACCTTTTATAAATAAAAGATTTGTATTATTTTGTTTCTCTTATCTTTCTAAAATATAAAATACAAGATATATTCTCTCTAAAATACAAAATAGTAGAAAAATAAAGAAAAATATTCTTTGAAACTAAAACTGTATATTGCGGAAGTGAAAACAGGGAAAAGATAACATATGCAATAAAACAGGTTTAAAAAAATGTGCAAATTTATTGATGATAATATTTTATAATAACTACAAAAGATACAGAGATAGAACAAAAATTAAAAGTTATAAACAATAGTTAAGTACAATGTATAATATACAATAGTTAAGTATAAGTTATATGCAATATTGGATGATGGTAACTTATACTTAATATGGCATAGCTTTTGACTGTAGAATATTCGTGTCCCGGAAAGGATTATAAAATGCCACATAAATTATCAGCAATGG